GGGCAATCTACTTCCGTAGTGATACCACCTCGGAAACCCAAGGAGGGGTTGCTATGAGTCAGGTCTGACTCGATGGCACATAACAACAACAACAACAACAACGTTCTTAACTATAGCACAGTGACTTCATTATCATGTAATGTCTGAGCTTATACACCTCCATATAACTCATGAGGAATGGATCAGTTGAATAGAATGAGAGGTCATGATTCAAAAAACATCATAATGTCTAGCTGTTGTGAATAGATGTGAAGGTATTAAGGCCCAAGAGAAATGAAAATGTATGTCTTCACAAAAACCTGTACGTGAATGTTCATAGTAGCATTATTCATAATAGCCAAACAATAGAAACAACTGAAATGGCCACCAACTGATGAATGGATTAATAAAATGCATTATGTCCTTACAATGTAATATTATCAGCCATAAGAAGGACTGAAGTACTGCTACATGTTATAATGCAGATGAACCACAAAACATGGTAAATGAAAGAATCCAGTCAAAAGAGACCACAACATACTCTGTGATTTCATCTCTATGAAATATAAGTGAAATGGTCAGAATAGGCAGACCTGAAAAAGACAGAAAGAATAGTGGTTGCCTTAGGCTGAAAGGGAATAAAGAGTGACTGCTAATGGGTACAGTTTTCTTTTCGGGGTGATGAAAATGTTCTGGAATCTCATAGTAGTGGTGGATATACAATCCTGTGAATATACTAAAAACCATTGAATTGTACACTTTACATGGCTGGATTATATGGTATGTGAATTATATCTCAATGATTTTTTTTTTTTTTTTTAAGAGCGTGGGTGATAGAACCAGGGGCAATGGGAAGAAATTTCATGTCAACACTTGTTGGAAGGCTTTCTCTTGGGATGTCAAAAAGAAGTGTCACGGTTGAGATTTGATGGCATGTAGACTAGCCCACTATTTTGGAATGATGGTATATGTCTATGGATATTTAGATTTAAGAAGTAAATTGAGATTCTCTAAAAGTTGCTTTGAAAGCCTGATAGTAGTAGAAGAAAGTACTTCTACAACTGATCATCATGGACTATGTTTAAAGAGCTAAATGAGAATGACAGTGTTACAGCCTGGTTGGCAAAATAATTTGTTTTTCCTTTTACATTTTATGTATTTTGTATCATAGTTGATGGTAAATAATTTTCATTTTGACCTTAAAAAACAATCTTTGTAATTAGTCACATGTCACATTGGCTAAATTTGAAAACTAGTTATGTTCCAGTGAAAAATGTCCACAAATTGACAGACGTGGAATCAAGAATTTGGCCCAGTAGGTGCTAGTCATTCTTAATCACATAGATGGGTTTCTTTTCATGATGTATTTTGTTTTCGCATCTTAAGTCTATAAATGGGTTTTGAAATCTCGGCAAAGAAATTTAAAAGAGAAATCATTTGCTGACAATTTAACAATTTTAAAGGATTTTGAAATAAAATAGGGAAAAGCAAGATTCCTTTTTGCAAATTTTGACACTATGTTTTTTTGTTGAGGTGAGATTCATGTGAACAACTGAATGACTTGTAGTGCATTCACAGTGCTGGGCAACCACCACCTCTATCTAGTTGCAAAACATTTTCATCTCCCCAGAAGCAAACCCCAGGCCATTAAATAGTTGGTCCCCATTCCCAGCCCCTGACAGCCACCAGTCAGTATTCTCTCTTTGAATTTACTTATTCTGAATATTTCATGTAAATGGAATCTCACAATATGGGACCTTTTGTGCCTGGCTTCTTTCACTTAGCGTAATTTTTTTTGTGCCTGATCCACATTGTAGCATCTATCAGTACATCATTCTCTTTAATGACATTGTATGTACATATCAAAATTTATAAAATCTGTTTATATATTGATGGACATTTGGGCTGTTTCTACCTTTTGGCTATTGTGAATAGTGCTGCTATGAACTTGCGTATACATGTACCAGTTTTTTTATTCTTTCGAGTATATACATAGGAGCAGAATAGCTACATCATAAGGTAACTTTATTTTTAACTTTCTGAGGAATCACCAAATTGTTTTTCATGGTGGCTGAACCATTTTACATTGCCATCGGCAATATACAAGGGTTCCAGTTTCTCCATATATTCTCTAATGTGTTATTTTCCATTTTTAAAATAATAACCATCGTAGTGTGTGTCATATGATACCTCTTTGTGGTTTTGATTGCATTTCCATAATGACTAAGGATGTTGAATATCTTTTCATGTGCTCTTAGCCATTTGTATATTTTCTTTGGAGAAAAGTCTATTCAAGTCCTTTGCTCATTTTTTAACTTCATTTTTTGTTGTTTTTAAGTTGAAAGGTTTTTTTTAATATGTTTTGGCTGCTAGACCCTTATCAAACATATGGTTTGCAAGTATTTTCTCCCATTCTATACATTGTCTTTTCATTTTCTCACAGTGTCCTTTGAGACAAAAAGGTTTTTAATTTTGAAATCCAATATGTTTATTTTTTCTTTCGCTGCTTATCCTTTGGTGTTGATACTAATTATTATTACTATTTTTTAAATAGCTGGTGTAAATAGTATAAGTCTTTTATGTCTTTCTTTCCCCTCAGAAAATTAACCATCTTAGACATAGTATTGGGTAGAAGTCAATGCTACCTTTTTTCTGTCCGAATTTTTAGATTGGGTCATGGATCCAGGTTGAAATCAAAAGTTTTTGAGAAATTAAATTTGTCTACGAGGAAGTCTTGAAGCATACTTGGTAACTATTTTGGGACATAGGATGAGGATAATTCTTCATATTTGCTTTTTAAAGAATGTTTAATTTTTCTGTGAGTGTTTACTGGTGTTTGTTATCACAGGATTAAAACCCCACAAAACCAAACCCACTGCCATCAAGTCAATACTGACTTACAGCGTTTCATTGTGTTTCTAAGGTGGTAAATCTTTATGGAAGTAGATTGCCTCAGCTTCCTTCTGTGGAGTGGCTGGTGGGTTTGAACCACCAACCTTTTGGTTAGCAGTCAAATAAATACCTTAGGCACTGCACCACCAGAGCTCCAGGATTACTTCATCTAAATTCAAGTTTAATGTCTTCCTTTTCTTTCATTCTCATGAAATGGCATAAAAAATGGGCAAAGATGAGTGATTCAGTAGAAAGTAGAATAAATGGACAGAGAGACGAATGAAAACAGTGGGACTAATAGGAAGAAAGAGTTTAACCCTTTGGAGATGTGGAGTGTGTAGCTCAGAGTTTTGCCTGAGAAGTACCCCTAACTGCTTTTATACCCTATGAGGAGCATGAAGGAAATTGGTATTTTTTCATATGATTTAAAGCATCCTTTTCTTTACCTTGGGTCAGAGATCTGATTTTGAATATGAAAAGTTTTAGGTAAAAGCAGATTAGTTTCCCAAGCAATAGTTTATACACAAATTTTTCTGTGACATTAGTTATAATCCTTGTGATACGTCAACACGTTCCTTGTTTCCTCCTCGAGTTCCTTGTTTCTGTTCATCCCATTTCCCTGTCCTTCCCTGTCTTCTCATCTTTGGTTTTGGGCAAATGTTGCCCTTTTGTCCTCATATAGTTGATTGTTCT